GATTATATTCCTACGGGCTAATTAGCCGGCATAGGACATTCTCTCGACGTTCCGTGAATTCGAGATCGCGCGATTTCACAGAGATCAATTTTTCCATCCTGCGCGATATCGATTTTACGCGATCGATTCCGCGCGTTCACCCTCCGAGTCCCCGTGTCCCATATGTATAATATATTGAATAAAATGGAATTTTAAACCCCCGCGCTTCGAAACGGCCATCAATTTTCCCGAGAACCATCCCTTCTTCGGAAATGACAGGTCTCCGGTGAAGCGTGCGGCAACAGGGGCGCGAAAATAGTGGAGATTCTTTCCACCTCGAGACCACAATAGACGCTGATACATTTTTAGTGTGTGTCTTTTCCGACCTGTCCTTGTTTCCCGACCTATCCGAGTCCTCGTTCCGTTAACGATCCCCTCATGCTTCTATTGGGTTGGCAACTAAGTAATTGCCGCGATTTGTTCAATGAAACAAAAAATTCTTTTTTACTTGGAACGAAGTTTAATCTGTAATGTATTTTCCATTTTGTTCGATGACCTTTTGCCGTCTCTCCGACAACTTGAAAATTCCACGCTCGTAGAAAGTCTGATCCTTTTCGACCGAAAACTGAGTTAAGCGAGATTTTACAGCGTCATCGTCGTTAAAAGTTTTTCCACGAAGGGAGTTGTCCAGGGATCGAAATAAGTGGCGCGAGATCAGGGCTATATGGTGGGTGTAACATCGATTCCCAACCAATATCCATGAATTTTTGCCGAGTGGACAAAGACGTGTGCGGCCTAGCATTGTCCTGCTGGAAAATGACAGCTTTACGATCGACCAATTCTGCTCGCTTTTCCTTGACCGCTGCATTCAATTTGTCCAGTTGCTATCATTCACGGATAATAAAAATAACATAATAATAATAATAATAATTTTATAATATAACATTTACGGATATCATAAAAATGGGAGTGAGAGACATCTATAACTGAAATCGGCAATTACTTAGTTGCCAACCCAATAACAAACTTATTCAGAATTCACCGGCGAAGGGTTAAAAACAGGCGCTCTTGTTCTTCGCGGCGTTCGAAAGCCGACTGATTAACGAGGAAATGAAAGGAGATATCGTGTAGAGATCGATGGGACAAGGACGAGTCCTCGTTCTGTTGACTATTGTCTCCTGCTTTTGGCAAACTTGTTTTGAATTTGCCGAGACAGCTTCGAAACGAGTGCAGTAAATTCTCCCCAATTCTTCCTTCAGCTTGTAAACAAAAATGGACAATTTGGGAAGAGGAGCTACGATTATTAGAGTCTCGCGATACATTTTTATAGTTGCACATTATTAACACTTCCACGACCGTGCTAGAAACCTCAAAAATTTTCACAAAATTAAAATATTTTATTCGATTAAACAAAAATTACGAAGCAAACTTATATGGCATCGATTACTTCTTCAGCATTCGTACCTCTTGCAAATATTAATCAAATTAAGCAATCATTTTTAATCTTTTATTAATCATCCATTCGGTCGTCAACCGACTGAATTTAACCCTTAGCACTCCGAACCATTACTCAGCGCCACTTTTCGGTAGAAACGGGCATTTACAGACCTTCGTATTATTTAGTATGATTTTGGAACTAACTAACATATTATAATGATATTGGACTTATGTGAATTTGGCTGAAATCGAGAAATTTGCAAAAAAATCAATATTTTATTTTTTATAATTTTGTTTTGTTGTTGCAATCGCTATCTATGCGAACTCTTTCTCTCGTCGCCTTGTTGCTTGGACGATATCGCTATCACTGCTATCAAAACGATAGACTAACTGTAGAAGAAAACCTTCTACAGCGGAGTGCAAAGGGTTAAAAAGGGGAGATCGGCCCGTTCGGTTGGCTAAGTGTTAACAATTATGAAAACAAGATGCAAGGCTCGAATGAATTCGCAAATTGTCCATTTTTGTTTGCAAGCTGAAGGAAAATTAGAGAAAATTTGCTGTACATCCGTTCCACAATTCGCGTCGCACTTTCTTACGGAGTAAATAATAACGCTATTTACGCAGTAGTTTTTACACGCGATCCGACTGTACGCAGCCAGCAAATCCATATAAAGCTTTTAGCCAAAAAATTGTAAAGTGCCACTACAGACATTGATTCAAACATTTATCAAGCACTCAAATTTCGACGAAATTTGACGAAACGCTGCAGCAGCGAGTGTCGGCAAAATCGCAACTTCGCAACAAAAAATATTGCGAGAAAATCGTCCGAAAAAATTTAACATTAGCAACGAAAATAGCGTCGAACTTGCAAATATTCCAAGCGATAAAAACGACGAGTTTGCGCGAACACAAAAGAAAACGATCGTTTCAAATTACGATAGCAATCGTAACGTGCACCGAACAAAGTTTACATTTGCTTCCTGAAACGTCATGATTCTTTCGCCAAGCCGTGTTCTTTCTTTCGTAGTTACGGTACGATTTTCATTCGCGTGAAATAAGTTCACGTGGAACGGGCGATTCCCGTAAACCGAGGAACGGGCGTGCTCTTAGCCTTCGGCTTATTATCAAGATGATGAAAGGAGATATCGTATAGATCGATGGGACACGGTCGAGGGTTAAAATAGCAGGATAGCCAGCGGGACACTCTTTGCTCGGCGGAAGGCGGGCGAGGCTGTGCCGTTTAATCGCGAGGAACGCGTTTAATTTCCAGCGTTGATCGCGAGCGGGAAGGAACCTTTATTTTCCGTTGCCGCAAAGCAGTCGCCGGCTTTGAGGAGTTACATGGAAAATAATGGAAATAGGACGGGGGGTGGGTTTTAAGTGCCACGCAAGTCCCGGCCGCATATTTTCCTTTCATGAAGCCCTCTCGGCCGCATCCGTTCTCGGGTTTCCGGGTACAAGGCCACGGGCTTTCTTGCGCGGCAGATCAAAGCGGAGCGGAGCCGAGCCGAGCCGAGCCGCGCCGAGTCGCGTAATCCTTGATCGGGGGTGACATCAGAATTTCGGCTCTCTCCGTCTCCTGCTCCCTCCCTCTCTCTCTCTCTCTCTCTCTCTCTCTCTCTCTCTCTCTCTCTCTCTCGCACATAAACACGCGTGCACATGCACGCATATGCACACGCGCGCAAACACGTTCTCTCTCTCATACTCTCTCTCTCTCTCTCTCGCTCTCTCGGCCGCGGGATTTATGTCCGGTTTACATCACCGGTGCCATTTAACGTGTCGCTACTGCGAGTGGCGCACTCGTAAATCGTTCTCTGCCGCATTCGCTTCCTCTATATTACAAGCATGTAAGTTCCACGCTGTCTGCTCCATTCGCAAGATGTTTCGGATCGCTATGAATACGAGAACCACACCATTCATAAATTACCGGCACTGTCCCGAATCAGGTTATCCCCGCAATTAGGCTGGACAAGAAGCTCGACAAGGAAACCGCAGAGCCTTTGGGCTCGACGACGATCTTGTCGAGAGTTTGTACGTTTATGTGTTGGCGACAGCTTATTTTTAATCCTAGAACGACCACCCGGGCTTGCCGGCGAACCGACGACATTTTTCATCGCACGTTCGCGAACGTGTAAATAAATACCGAAACATTGAGATTATATATTATATAATCTATAATATACTAATACTATATATACTATAATATACTATATAATACTATATATATACTATAATACTACATAATACTATATATACTATAATATAGTATATAATACTATAATATACTAATACTTTATACACTATAATATACTATATAATACTATAGTTTTTAGCACAATTACACCGAAGATGCTATGTTTCTGTCGATGTTGACAATTGTTATTTGTAGCGAAAACGTGCTTAGCGCGTGTACCATTACGATTAAAACATTTTTTACCCATTTTTATACTCGGCAACATAAAACGAATAGAATCGAACGCTTTCGCGAGGACGCGTAATCTTTTCCGCTCGAAATAAGACTTCCTTTATCTTAGGCGCTTTGCTTCAAAAATGTGTCGGAGTTGCTGGTAGGTGGTACGTACTCGAGATACGCGTGGAGCGCTAAGGGTTAAGTTATGACGAGATCAGGGTGCACAGGCGCGCTTTTGTCCTTCAAGTTGCATCCCGATGGAACCTGCATGATTTTTACACGACTTCCACACGACTTATTTACGACTTCTGCAGCAAGCGTCGCCGTATACGCGTCTCTCACGGTCGCATTTATCTTCGCTTCGCTCTCGTACTCTTTGTCCTGCAATTAATTAAAGTACGTACAGTCCGCGCCGGCAGTCACTCTTTCCGTCAGCGATCGACTCGCGCGCAAGGCCGAGTCGGTGTGTGCGAGTGATTTCGATAAAAGGAATTGGATCGATACAACATTTTCTTGGTACCATTATTGTATTCATGAGATTCAGGATGACGGCTGTGTGGCGTGGTTCTTTTCGCAAGGAAAGAAAAGTTCCGTTTCTAGAATACCGTCGCAATCATTTCTTTTGTACATCCGTTAATTCTACCCGAGCGATTATATCTCTTCCCTCGGAATTCAACGGATTCGTTGCATGCTCGTGAATCGACTTCGGACGCGACATCGTCGACTTCGGAACGAAATTACAACTCGCGAACCTCGCTTTCGTCGCTTAAATTCTCAAATTCTTTAATCGATGCTAATCGTTGCTGGAAAACTGGTAATCGAGTCGAAAGGAAACTCGGTATCGAAATCAGCTTGTCGATACCAATTGCCGAAGACGTACCGGAAAGACGTACTACTTTTCGAATGAAAGCTTATTTCCACCGTGCAATTCTCCCGACGCTTTCGTCTCGTTTCCAAGGATCCGCGCGCGCTCGTTCGCTAATCACGAAAGCAGCCGAGCTTCGAATTCGAGATATCGGTAGCGATCGTCGGCCGCGTCCCGCGCTCTCGGTAGCCGAAGTTGCAGGGTCGCGGTCGTTTAATTACAAGGATATTCATCGTCGTCCGGGACGGATCGTCTGGAGGCTGGTGGGCTGCGGTGGATCGATTCGCTAACGAACGGCTATTGTTCCAGGGTCGGACAACATGAATTCTAGCGGCGAGTCCGGGGGCACGATGACCGAGGACTACGAGGTGACCGGCTGCGGTCCACCGGAAGAGGAGACGGGCTCGAACTTGCCGGTGTGGGAGGCCGCGGCGGCTTCCTTGACCCTCGGGTTCCTGGTGCTGGCGACCGTCCTCGGCAACGCTCTGGTGATCCTGAGCGTGTTCACGTACCGGCCGTTGAGGATCGTGCAGAACTTCTTCATCGTGTCTCTGGCGGTGGCGGACCTGGCGGTGGCGATCCTCGTGATGCCGTTCAACGTCGCGTACCTGCTGCTCGGCAAATGGATCTTCGGGATCCACCTGTGCAAGCTGTGGCTGACCTGCGACGTTCTCTGTTGCACCGCGAGCATCCTGAACCTGTGCGCGATCGCGCTCGACCGATACTGGGCGATCACCGATCCGATCAACTACGCGCAGAAACGCACCCTGAAGCGGGTGCTGGGAACGATCGCGGGCGTGTGGATCCTGTCGGGGGCGATCAGCTCGCCGCCGTTGGCCGGCTGGAACGACTGGCCCGAGGAGCTGGAGCCCGGCACGCCGTGTCAGCTGACGAGGAGGCAGGGCTACGTGATCTACTCGTCGCTGGGCTCGTTCTTCATACCGCTGCTGCTGATGAGCCTGGTCTACCTCGAGATCTTCCTGGCCACGAGGAGAAGGCTCCGGGAGCGCGCCAGACAGAGCAGACTGGGCGCCGTCCAGTCGACCAGGCACCGGGAGGCCGACGACAACGAGGAGTCCGTCAGCTCGGAGACCAATCATAACGAGAAGTCGACGCCGCGGACCCACGCGAAACCCTCGCTGATCGACGACGAGCCCACCGAGGTGACGATAGGGGAGGAGAGAAGACACGCGACGACCTCCTCGTCGAGGCGGACGGCTGGCAGCAGCCGAGCACCGCCCACCACCACCACGGTCTACCAGTTCATCGAGGAGAGACAGAGGATCTCCCTGTCGAAGGAGAGACGCGCCGCGAGGACCCTCGGCGTGATCATGGGCGTCTTCGTGGTCTGCTGGCTGCCGTTCTTCCTGATGTACGTGATCGTGCCGTTCTGCCCGGCCTGCTGCCCGTCCGACCGCGTGGTCTACTTCATCACGTGGCTCGGCTACGTGAACAGCGCCCTGAACCCGCTCATCTATACGATCTTCAACCTCGACTACAGGAGAGCCTTCAGGAGGCTGCTGCGCATACGCTGAACAACCAACCGCCGGTCGATTCGGATCGCTCTCGCCAGCTCCCTGCCTCGGGAACGCCGCTCTCGAGAACCGTGTCTCTCGGTGGCTAGAAAACTCTGTTGTTCCTCGTTCTCGTTGCGTCGCTCGGCGCCGGTTACGACCGAGCTTCCTCGGCGAGACGCCTCGCCGGACCTCTGGCATCGGGGGAATCCGGGGGATCATGGGAATCATGGGAATCGGGGGGTCGCACCGACGCGATATCCAGTTTATGTCCGTCGCCGGAACGATCGAGCGGTCTTCGGGGCTCCCACGGCCAGCGCACCAAACCAAATTACCGGGAATTTCAATGAAACCCGGCCCTCTCTGTGCGCCGCTCTGCTCCGCTGCCCCGGTCCGCATGCTCGCGCGTTTATTTTCCGTCGGGAGGACGGGAAATCCTGGCGAGACCGTGGTCGCGCCACGTGAATTTCGCCGCACGGTGATGAGGCTCGATCGATCATAGCCTTCTCCGGAACGATCGGTCCCCGCGATATCAAGCCCGGTGTACCACCCGCGCGATCGTTGAATTTTCGAGTCTCCGAGCCGCGCAACCATCGTCTCGAAATTCTACCGTGGCCGTGAATGATTGATACTCCTTTAATGGGGTCTCCGTGTGGCGGACCAAGAATGGTTGGACTCGCCGGCATTCTTCCAGCGAATAATTAACACTCGGCGGCTCCGCGCTCTACGCGCGCGTTTTCCTTTCCGTGGTCGAAATAAAAGGCGCGGACGCGCGTTTCTTAATCGCGCGCTTCGCGATCTAACGAGTAATGAAACAACGACGATGCTCGGCACCTTTCTGTTTTCATCTCGCGCGTCATCTTCGTCGAGGTTGTCGAAAAAGCTGCACGGTTGGGTCTCGTGTAACGCGAATTCCTGAGACCTGAAACTCCTTAATTGATCTTCGGTTTGGAGGCCAAAGTGGACAATTTGGGAAGAGGAGGTTAGATTATGCGAGGCTTGTGACTTGTTTTTATTGTTGTTGACAATCGGTTGCTATGAAAACGAGCCGCAAGGCTCGCGTAATCGTGTCTCCTTTTCTCTAAATTGTCTATTTTTGCGTACAAGCTGAGCGTCGATTAGAGAGAATTTACTACAGCGCGCGACATACGGTAATACCTCCTTAATTGACGCTCGGCTTAAAAACAAAAGTGGACAATTTGGGACGAGGAGATATTATTATTCGAGCCACGTTTTTGTAGTTACCGATTGTCAACAATTATAAGAACGAGCTGCAAGACTCGAATAATCGTATCTCCTCTTCCCCAAATTGTCCATTTTTGTGGACAATCTGTGCGTCAATTTGGGATACATCACTGTATATATATATACAACTCTCGTCCGTCCCCTTCTCTGCAGTATAACGACTTCTTTGATATCGAATTGATACAACGATAAAGGACAGCTAAGACGGAACGATGAACGATTAACCTTTTGCACTCGAATGGCGACTCTGCGACGCCACTAGAAATTGGTATACTATTTTTCAAAATCATTCTGAAAGCATCGAACTCGTTTATATTTAAAAGAAGCTATTAAAATTCCATTGTACTTGCCAATAAGTTCAATTTCACATGCACAAATCGCAATAAATTATATAAAATAGAAATACTGTAGATCAGAAATCATGTGTTTCGGATTTCGAATTCAAATAGCTTCGACTGCAAAGGGTTAACCCAGCTAGCTAGCTGTTGAAATTCCTTGAAAAGGCTTTTCTTCAGATTTTGTCCAAATATCGACAACGCTTTCATAAAATACACAATTTAATAAAGACTATCATAGTCTTCAGACTATCATATAATATCCTTTTGAACCAGTTAGCCGATTTTGACGAGAATACTCGTCGCGAAGAAACGCAACATTTCGCGATCGAACGAGTACACCGTCGAAAACCATACACAACTAACCGGTTACATAATAAAAATCTAAGACGAGGTTATATCAAGGTTTAACGTTGATCGTTCCACTGTGTTCGGAACGAATAAACCGATCTACGGAACAGATTAATTCTTCGGCGACCGTGACAACCGTGTCAAATTGACGCGAGCGACGGGCGAGGCTTAACCGCGTTATACGAGAGTTTTTACCGTGCGGTAAATACAGCGTTTTATCGTTATAAAGTAACACGCGTTAGCTAGTTTTCGGACTCGGCAGGCTTAGCGTTAATCTCGGTTAAAAATGAAACAATCCATCTATAGTTGTTGCTCGGTTCGAAGCTTTCGCTCGGCGATCGAGCGGCTCGAGCGCGGGGGAAACGCAGTTTTTCATCCGACGGATATCGTTGCCTTTCCGAGCGCGTAGACAATTGATCGCCGCAGAAGGAGTATCGATCATTTAACCGGCACGATGGGAGATCCGAGCCGGCTCGCGTCGGAGGCTTCCGCGGCTGCTTTTCCATCGGCGTGTCGTTTTATTACGGGGCGCCGCGGCACCGGAGACGGCGCATCCGACGCGCGGCGAGACGGATTAATAAAATGTAAAGAAAAAAAAAACAAGAAAAGAAGAACCGCGTCGGCAGTTTTCATCGCGGACGCGTCCACGCGTGTCGCCAGTCGCGACGGATTTCGCGCCGCTGCGATCGCCGCCGCTTCGCAGCTCCTTTGTCCGGCTCTCATTTTTTCCCGGCGGTTTTCGGCGGAAAATTCGCGCGCGCGCCTGTATTTCGCTACAATACGCGCGACAGGTTCGACGAGGCGAGGGACCGGTTACAAATTCGTCAGGCGTTAAAGATTAACTGCGACGACGGGGGACGCGATAGTCTAATTTCGCAGTGGCAGCCGCGAGCCCCGTTTCATTAAAGTTGCTCCATTAATCCTGCTGGCTGACTGGGGAAACAAGCGCACGGATAGCGGATCTTGAGGAAATTGAAGCTGCAACCGCGCGATCGTTCCGCGTCCCCCCGTCCCCCCTCCGGCCAATTTCGGCCGCCATTACGGGAACCGGGGAGCCTGCGGGAGACCGGAAGTCGATCGTTCGGTCGCCGGACCGAGCTTCGAGGTTCTCCATCGCCGAGGAAACCGTCGACGGTCCGTTCGGTGCGCCGTCGGTTCTGCGAACGCCGGCCGGTTCGCCGAACCGCTTTTCACAGGATTCGGTGTCTGCAGGATCGCTCGTCGAAGACGGACAATGGAAACATCTCGGAAGACGAGAGAAATTCGTATCCGATTCTCCGCAGGAATCGCTTGGAAATCTGTTCGAAAGACGAGCATCGGCTGGAAAATGTTTTCGACCGTCGAGTAAACGTTTCGACGTTTTGCAATTGCAAGTTTTACGATTCCATGGCAACCATTTGCCAGGCCCGATTGAATTGTTTAACGCTAAAAATTCTTTACCGCGGTCAAAGTGACCGCTTTCTTATTTTGCAATTCTGCAAAGTTCCGAAAAGTTCTTCCGTGAAAAACGCTTGAATAAGTTATATTATTGGAGCAAGTTTTATAATGAAAACTTTGCAAATTCTAAATAAGTTCGGTCTTCTCAGTTTTGCGAAGCAGTACAGGCCAGTTAGTATTACTGCTTGTGTTAACCCTTTGCACTCCGCTGTCCCCTCTCGTGGGACATCGTAATTCTAGCACATCACTCGGATGTCCCCTCTCGTGGGACATTCAAGTTTATTAGCGATTACGGGGAATTGAGTTATTTCAGCGCAACTTTTTCGGACATGCATGTTTGCCTGAAGTTTTCTCTTGAAATGGCACAAGAAATCGAATCAAAATATAGTAAAATTATTAAGATATATACAAGAAATGTCAGCGAGTTTTGACGAGAACGCGAGAGGCGTGCTCACGACGGTCCGAGCGCTTCAAAGACGCCACTTGAAAAGAGCGATAAGGCAAGTTTGTAGAAGAAAGATCGGTATGCGAACATAGCATGCACTGTATAGCGAGATTTATAATCGTAAAATCTGGAGGAAAAGATTTTCAAAGCTGAACTCGGTCTGGTTCGATGCGTCGAGCGGTATAGATAGATCTAACGAATGAGAAAATCGGAAAAGTGATTCTTCTCTTGGTAAATAAATTGTTTGGTAAAAGTTTCTTTGGTAAATATCATCTTGTGAGTTAGTAATAACAATTAGAAATTTTCAACCTATGTATTTATTCATATTTTTTATTAGAACAATGGCAAAACGTTCAAACACGAATGAGTCTCATGACACAAGTAGTAGCGAAGATGAGCTCCAGATAGACGTTTATACAGATATGTTAGAAATGTTACACAGAAATGTTACTACAGATATGTAGAAGGTTTTCTTCTACAGTTAGTCTATCGTTTTGATAGCAGTGATAGCGATATCGTTCAAGCAACAAGGCGACGAGAGAAAGAGTACGCATAGATAGCGATTGCAACAACAAAACAAAATTATAAAAAATAAAATATTGATTTTTTTGCAAATTTCTCGATTTCAGCCAAATTCATATAAGTCCAATATCATTATAATATGTTAGTTAGTTCCAAAATCATACTAAATAATACGAGGGTCTGTAAATGCCCGTTTCTGCCAAAAAGTGGCGCCGAGTAGCTGGTAGCCAACGTCCAGAATGGTTCGGAGTGCTAAGGGTTAAGTAACAATAAATCTAGCGAGTCGGTCGAAACGGTCGGATTCGCGTCGTCTTGCGTCAAAGTTGCCGAACTTGCAGAGAGTACTCTTTCGTAGAAACTGAGATTGAATGGTCCAAATTATCGCAGTCGTCTTATCGATAAACTGCGGAAGTTTGCGCGGCTGTGTACAGCATCCGGCGAATGTGCAAGATATACGCGAGATACACGCAAGATGTATACGCGAGGCAAGTGCTGTGTTCGTGGCCCGGAAACAAGTGACTAAATCCGCAGCACGCTGCGGTAACAGTCTCGGCAACAATTGCAACACCGCGATATCGACATCGAAATTGTTTCCCAAGGGGCAAAATAGACGAGCGCGTTTCGCGCGACGAGACGAGGCGCGGAGTCGCGTTCGTCGGCAACGAATAGACGACCGATTGTGTTATATTGTTAATCTCATGAAAGGAATGAGACGGAATGAGATAACCCAGCGTGAAAGACGTTCGTCTATCCGACCTCGAGCGCAGTATATGCGAGATACTGTAAATTCTCCCTAAATTTCGTTCGGCTTGTGAACAAAAATGGACAATTTTGGAAGAGTAGATTATTCGAGCTTCGCGTCTCGTTTTTATAATCGTTGACAATCGCAACTATAAAAATGAGCCGCTCGAAATAATCGTATCTCATTTTCCCAAATTGTCCATTTTTGTCTTCGAGCCGAAGGAAAATTGGGAAGAATTTATTGCGCGTGCAGAATACATTTTTGAGATCCTGAAATCGTGAAACTAATTTCTATAAAATATGCATTCGCACAAACTTCCGCAGTCTAGTTACAGAGCAACACGCGTTGGTTACTTTTAGGGCTCGATATTTTTATACTATTAACACTATGCCGTCCGCAGATCTTAGATACGATTCTTTTGTTTGACGCCGGCATAATAGCTTGGAAATTTTAGATTTTAAACAAAATGTCGAAGATGGCGGTAATATAAATTCGTAAAATTAAGATACGTCATCCAAGAATTTTCGTACTTAATTCTTAGTTAAATAAGCACAATGCTATAGTTAGTTTGCTGCCTTTTAACACCTAAGAAATATAGTTCAAATGAAATCAGTTTTTTAAAATGGCATCAAAGCGGTACCACCGGCATACAACAGATAGTTTTTACATGTCACCAGTGTGGTGCCACCGAACGGCATAGTGTTAAGCATCAATTTTGCTACATATGTTTTCACTAATTTTTTCGAGATGAAAGTAGACCCGCTTGTCGCACCTAATATAAATTTACACTGATTTCAACCGAGACATTAGGCACTTCGAACGCTTAGAACTCATGGTCAAATGTTACTCCAGATCTGCCATTCGATGGTTAAACTGGCCCAAGTTTCTCCAATTTTGTTACATATATTTTCAATAATTTTTTCGAGATCAAAGTAGACCCGCTTATCGCACCTAATACAAATTTACACTGATTTCAACCGAGACATTATTTCGAACGTTTAGAACTCACGGTCAAATATCATTCCAGACCGGTGGTTAAAATTTCCCAAGTTTCTCCTAGGGAATAATTTCATAATCGAACCGCAGATAACCGAGATGCTTTCAATTTCGGTCTCGAACGGCTGCGTAAGAAAATTGTACGGAAA